AACACCTTCCTCAAATGTTACCAAGTGTCAAACAGTTCATATAATACCAATTTAACATCATAATGCAGTTAAACTCCAGATTTTGTCCAGATAAGGGGTGACCACACACTCTCAGTGCTGAGGCACTGAGACACCACCACCAAACACTCAGAAGAAATAATAATATTTGCAGACATTTTTGTTCCACTCCCCTCTTTTGACTCTCAGTCTGTCTAACCCATGTGTGAGAACTTACATTAAACTCCTCCCTGAAGAGCTTCCCTTCGTCTGCCGAGCGTATCCGGATTTCCTCCTCCAGATTTTCCACCGGAATAGGAAAATACTTCTTTGGGCCGGAGGGAGACCTGCTGAGCAACATGACCCGTTGCTGTTCTGTCAGGACAAGGGAAGGGCATGTTAAAGGCACGTCCAGAGCAACAGAGACCAAGATATTTCCAACTACAGATTCCTCTTTAAGCCGGAAGATGCCAAACCAAACTTCTCACATGAGGCTTCAGCCGGTGATAAAATTGACTTAAAGGAAATAAAAAAACCAAATCATAAGCCAAGTAGTTGCTTTGAGAACTTAATAATATCAAGAAGAACCTGGTGAAATGAATGGTTTCTGTATTAGCACTGGATTAAAATGTGACCAAGAAAAGGAGAAAGTTCACTCTGCTGACAGAGAGCAGGGACAGCTTTTGGCATCTATCATCAAAGAGATGCTGTGAGATACTTTCACTTGTGAAGGGGAAATAAAAATAATTTTAAAAAAACCCCTATCTTTAACTTGGTAGCCACCAGAAACTCTGCACCAAGACTGGTTGCTCCTGTTTTCAAGCTCCAGCAGAGCAGGAAGCTGAAGGGTATATTTAGAGGTTTGACTCTCCCTCTGACTGCCACCCCGTTTTACCCACTTGTTAGGTCGCACATAGCCCAGTGGGACTTCCACAGAGCACAGATTGATTATTTTTATCATCAAATTTATCGTTTTTCTCTTGGTTATGGCTAAAATAACTTGTCCAGCCTCTCTGTGTTTATGGGGTTTGAGCTGAGCCCCACAGAGTGATGCACCCACGGGGCTGCTCAGGCACAGAAACAATTATAAAACCAGAGGAAAACATTTTGAACTCTCTTATTTTTGTGCCATTAGTTTAAAAACTGCCCTATTTCAGCCTCTTGCTTTATCTTCACATTCAGGAACCAGCCAATAATTTCACAAAGAGTTAAGGCCCCTTTTTTCCGCATTTGAAGAAGAAATTCTGCAATTCTTTCTCTAAATACAAATATCAGTGTCAGAAACCTGGACCTCAGCTGGCATCCTGCTAAAACCTCTATAAAGAGCCCAAAAATCATTTACAAAGAATCATTTACTGTATCACAACCTAAAGTGAATATTCTCTAGAACCAAAAACTGAAAGTTAAGACCATATATAGACATATTTAAATATGGATCTCTATTCCAAGGCCAGTTTGGACAGGGCTGGGAGCAACCTGGGCTAGTGGAAGGTGTCCCTGCCCATGGCAGGGGTGTGGAACAAGATGAGCTTTAATGTCCTTCCAATTTGGGATTCTATTTTTTTGAACTATTTTATACTATTTTAAACCAGAAATATAAGCAGACAGAAGTAAATTATTTTGAACTAGAGAGCCAGGGCGTGTGCGCACAAACAAACTGCAAGCAAATCTCTCCATACCTTGCTCTTCCAGGATCCCGTTCGGCATCTTTTTGTCCCCGGAGGTCACGACAGCTTTCCTGTGTCTCCTGAACCTGAAACACGGACAGCAAGTCACCTGAGCAACACTGCTGGTAGGCAACCAGAGTTCTCCCCACACCATTATTTCACCAACCATGTAATTCTAGAGAAACTCTTTCTGTTCATCTTCCCCGTGGCCACAGCCCGTGGTCTGCGCTGGAGGTTCTGCCTCTCCCCGCGCGTCTTTCGCTTCCTCGTGAGGTCACATCGAAACAGGGCTGAGCTGACTTCAGCCTGCACAGCACCCCCCCACACACACACACCTACCTGAAAAAATACCCAACCAGCACCAGGAAGATGATGACAACCAGGCCCAGAATCAGCAGAGAAGTGAGCAGGTCCTTGTGCAAGTTGTTCTCTTCGGTGGAATCTGTGGATGGAACATAACATGAAATATTGACACAGGCTTCCTCAGCTGGTACAAAAACTGTGCCCGAGGCATCAAAGATCTGTGGTTCTACACAATGATCAAAATTATTTTACTTTGGCAAAGCTCAACATGAAAATTCACTATTTTTTTTTTTTTACAATTTCTCTTTTTCTTCCCTCCTTTTTCAACTTTTCAAGCTCAGCTTGAAAGTTCAATTTTTTTTTTTACATTTCCTCTTCCCCTCCCCCCCCCATTTTTCTTAAGAACTGAATCATCTCCTGCTGAGAAAAATCAAGGATATTTTTTTTCGAATGATTGGTTAAGCAAAGAATTTACCTGTTCTCAGAGAAAGTTGAACAGGTATAAAGGTTTTAAGCTGAATTTGAAGCCTATTAAAGGTTTGCTGAAGTGCCCTTATGTGCATCAGCTGCTTCTCAACCAGAGAGAAATCACCCAAGAATGCCACCTCTCATACAGATTTTATTCATTTATATATAAGAACAAGTAGGAATAATTACATGTTCAACAAATAATCAGAATGGAGATTAAAAAAAATATATCTTTGCTATATCTGGTATAAACTCTGAGTCTCACCCTTCTGTTAACAGTGTTTTATGTATGTGACTCTCTCACTTTCATTATGCTTCTGTAACCTTTTAATTCTACTGAATAATTCAGTATATAACACATTAAAATCATTAAAAACCCACCATGTTTTATTTAAGGAAGCAAAACTTTCAGCCTGAACCTTCAGGAAGCAAAACACAGCCCTACAACCATGATTCCAAAAGTAAGGCAATTTAGGTTGCTGCTGGTGTGGTGTATTTCTTCTCTTTTAAACTTCATTTACACACTTCTGATGAGTTTTTTTACCGTTTCTACAGCATTTAAAAGCTGCCTGAAGGCAGAATTAGGTGAAATATCAGGGGGAAATTGTTCCCTGTGAGGGTGGTGATGCCCTGGCACAGGTTGCCCAGAGAAGCTGTGGCTGCCCCATCCCTGGGAGTGTCCAAGGCCACAGCTGGAGCAACCTGGGCTAGTGGAAGGTGTCCATGCCCATGGCAAGGAGTGGAACTGGATGATCTTCAATGTCCCTTTCAACCCAAACCATTCCATGATTCTATAAAATATTTAGGACTATATAACACCTACAAAGTTTTAGAAAGGAAACGGATCAACCAACTGCCTGGAATTCATTCCTGCCCAACCATGTGTTGGTTTGTGTCCTGTGAGCAGCTGGGAACTCTCTGGATGCTCCAAGAGGGTATTAAGGCATGGAAAAAATTCCTTTAGAGACACAGGTGAACTAGGGACATCCAAGGAAAGAAGATATCTTAAGTCAACACAATAGTACATAGAACGGGAAGGCAATAAAATGCACGAAACCTGACATTTAAGTGGTGTATAAAGATAAAAGTGACAGGCATGACAAAATTGTAATCAGTAGCCATGACTTGGCAGGGTTTCAGGAAATCACGACTGGAAGGAGTGTCTGGATGAACATGAATCACCAGAGACAGATGAACACTTTCTGTGGGGTGTTGAGCAACTCTGCATGGAAACCAAGGGGCTGACAGAGAAACAAACACAGAAATATATATTTTTGTCCCCCACGGACAAAATGGAGACACTTTTGGAGCTTAGAAATTTCAGACTCGGTATCCTGGAACCCTCCAGGATTTAGGGGGTTTGTGTTAGTTCTCTTTGGCTCCATATCAAGACTCATGACATGAGGGAGGAAAAACAACAAGTTTGCATCACGAGGGATTTAAAATTTCTCTCAGTCCATTACACAACACAAAAAAATCACCCCATCTGGTCCTTTCGGAGAACTGATGTACCTCACACCACATTTTTGGGGTGTCTTTGGGAAACTGATCCCCAGACAAACACTGGAAGCCCCAATCCAACCCAGCAGAAGAGACATTCAACCTCCTGTCAAATCACTGCCTCCATCTCCTTAGCTGAGGACAGAGAACCCCTGCCATGACTGAGGCAGTTCCCTGCCCCAAGATCTCACCTCTCCTCCTACCATTTCACAAGGTAATTAGGTCAAACCCCACAGAAAGCCCCTTCTTTCTTGTACACGGGCACATCCGCTCTCAAAACCTCGCAGTTGCTCACCAACAGCTTCACCCCTTGCATCTGTGGTTTTAAACAGCTGTCTTTATTACCTGTATTTTCTTTAATATCTGCGTTGATATAAATTAGCCCAAAAATTGCATGGGAAAGTTCCAACTGGGCTTAGGCCACTGTAGACTCAGAGGCTGGAAGATCTCTGGCCAACACAACGGCCTACAGACCAAGTGGGATTTACGGGGAGACTGAAGCACAGACCTGCAATAAATTTTTAATCAGTGCTGCTTTAAAAATTAATGACTGGGAACCCTGGGAATAAATGCACCAAGAAGAGGCAGATCCTCCAAATCTCTGCTGCAGCCTCTGCCAGGGAAACTTTTCCACTGCTCCCACTCCAAGAGTTGTGGCCCAAACCCACAGGGATTTATCTTTGCAGCCACAAAACAAAGATCTTCCCAAGGGTATTTTTTTTTTAGAGATAAAATGAAACTGGGACTTTCAACTTGAGACAGAGGGGGGTTATCACCAGGAGGGTGCTGACAACCCCTTGTGCTTCCCCTGCCACCCCCCAGGCTGACTCATGGGGCCTTCCCAGTGTCATTCCTGGTGCTGTTGGCCCAGGGCTCTTCCTGGAAATGTATCAGCATTTCCTTCAGTGTGAGGATGTTCCCACTTTCCACATGTGTCAAAACCAAAGCCACCCCCAGGAAAAGGGGAACCAACAGCAGTAACTCCCCCATGATCCTCCCTCCCAAACTTGGATTCTCTTCATCCCTGGATTGTTCCCTCTGGAAGCAGGACATGAAGGGTAAAATGGCCCGTGAATAAAATCGTGTTTAAAACACCTTTTCCCCTCTTTGTAAAGCAAGCAAGCAAGACAAGGTGTGTGTTTTTTTTCCCACCAGCACATCAGGTACCTGAAATTCTTCTGGTGACTGACAAAGAGCAGACAAGATTTTGTTTATCGGAGCACAGGAGAAATCCCACAACAGCAGCTCTATTTATGCACAGTCTGATCTTCCCAAAAAACAGAGATATCACAAACATACCAAACAGGGAATATCACAAAGTCCACACTAAGCCCGCTCATGCTATTTTTGGAAGGGAAAACCCCAACCCTGCCATGTCTTGGCTGCAGAAAGGAAGCAGGTGATACGCAGCTGATAACCAGGATTTGTGTTTGGTACATGTGAAAAACAAAGCCCAAATTAAAAAAAAAAAAAAATTAAATAAAGGAAGGGTGAAGGAAAAAGTTATGTAGGGAAAGAAAACCAGTGCCCAGAGCATGCAGAACACAGAAGGCAAGCAGCAGTAAATGCAGTAATGGTGCCTCTGTTTAACACCTCAGAGCTGAATCACACTCAGCCAAAGCGAGCACAGCCCACCTGCCACTGCAGTCACAGAATCACTG